GGGGGGGGGGGAGCTGGAGCTCTCGAGGCTTCTCTCTGCCACCCCTAACCACCGAAGTCACCTAGTTCTTCGGGCGCAGCTTTCCCCTTCCGTCCTTATCTCCGTCTCTCCCTATTCTTCCTTCCTCTCGAGATCCATCGTGAAATCCGAGGCTGGCGGGTCAGGGGTTGATACAAGGACCGAAGGGATGAAGGGATGAAGGCGCCCACGGGGCTTCTATGGGGTGACTCTTAAATTACTTAGGTTGAACAAAACGTAACAAATGAGCCCGAATCGAGCCACTTATGCGATATTGGTCCATCGGAACCACCTTTTACATCCCCCGAACTGAAGCACCCACCCCTAGCTACGTTTCGAATATGTCATATCCTGTGCGTGTCGATTGCGCAACGACCCTCTTTCTTCCTCTTTCGGCCGAGGATCGACGAGGAGTAGAAGGAAAAGGGGCCGGCCGAGGGTCAAGGGTGACTCTCAACTTCCTAATTCTTCGGATATGTATGTCCTGCCGGAGCGCATCGACGTGCTTCCTCCGAAGGGTAGAAGAGCGTCCGAGGGTGCGCGAAAGCTGCATCTGGAAATCCCGGCTAGGAAAGGATCTTCCGGGAAAATCCAGTTGGCTGCCCTGACGCGGGGGGGCCCATCTTTGTAAAAGTTTTCCAGCAGGACCGCGCAAAGGATCGTTGCACCCTTGTGGCTCCTAGGGCACCTTTCGACTCCCAGGATCCTCGGGATGGTTCTCGACACCACCCTTCCCGAGCCTCTAAGTCCTTTCGGTTATTAATGGTTTTCGCGAACTGGGTTCATTAGAAAGCCTCGCGGGCCTCCTCGGTAAACTCCGCGGCATCCGCGAGACCCGTAGCTGCTTCGTGCCATACCATTCTGCTCCCCCGGCTCCCCCCGGCTCCCCCAGTCTCCTCGGCCGTTCCAACCTCCCTAGCCCTTTCACCCTCTCTGCTTGAATAACCGTAGACGCCTTTTCCCACCACACCCCACGTCATGTGCACCGCCTTGTATATTCAAAATTAGCAACGTATATTATTTCCAAGACTTTGCCATCCTGCGTTTCAGCAGCCCTTTGCCTTCCCCC